CTAATTGTACTATTTGTATTACGCAGTATCAAAACATAACTCAATGAGTCAAATAGAGAAAGGGAAATCTCTATAATACATTGAGGCATGGGTGATGTAGACCTGCAAAGGCTTGAAACTGGGGGCGTTTAAATTCGTTTATGGGCCTATAAAGCAAATGGGAGCACTCACTATTTTACGACTGGATCCGTTTTTAAAAGCGCAGTAAGGAGGAAACGCAAAACGAAGGTTTTCTCATTTGTATGAAAACAGAGGAGGAGGCTTAAGCATATTTGACAAATATTCAGATAAAAATAACATTACCATTAATTCAAATAGATGTAATGCAATGGGACCTTAAATGTAATCCCTTGGAGATAGAGTGCTATATAGATTAAAATGCATTAAAATTACAATTTCTGCTGAAATGTTGTCGTTATCTTAATTTTAGCAATGCTTGCTTTGTCGAATTACAGATAATCCTGTGGCGAATTGGATCCATGCACGTTCCACTAGGAAGAAACGTTGTCCTTACACGAAATACCAGACTCTCGAACTTGAAAAGGAGTTTCTTTTCAATATGTACCTTACCAGGGACCGGCGGTACGAAGTGGCGCGAGTCCTAAATCTAACGGAGCGTCAAGTTAAAATCTGGTTCCAGAATCGACGAATGAAGATGAAGAAACTGAATAAAGAAAAGACTGATAGCAATGATCAATAATGGGAAACGGTCGACGTAAAAAGGACAAAGAGAAACTCTCGCAAAATACTAATACCGTTTTACCATATTGTTCTTTCATATTTCCATTTAAATGTTTCATTTTCATTGTAACTGTATTACAGTCCGACGCATTTTTTTATGTAAACAACTCCCGATGTGCTATTTGAGTTTTAATTTTTAACAATGTATGAGTGCCTGTTTATGTTTGTGTTCTTGTGCATTTGTCTAGAGAGAAAACAAAAAGGTAACGTTCCTTATTCAAATACAACCAGAGAAAATTACTTGAAATTATACATATATTTTTCTGTTGATTAGTAATTTATGAATGCCTTGCGTGTATTTGTAGTTATGGATGTTTACTTTTAGATTAATATACGTGTTAAAGGCTTTCTATGGTGAGTTGAGTAATATGACAACAAAAACAGGGATATTTGTCTATAAGGCTATGTGTAAATAAATTTAATGCACCACGGTGAATTTTTGTGCTTCCTTTGATTCATACTCAGTAGAATTGTACACATGCTAGTAGAAGCATAACCAGCACCAGTGTCTTTGTGTTCCAGAGGTGTGGGCCTTGCAAAACGATGATCTCTAGGACAATCGTTGTCAGAAAACTAAATAATCGGGCAGTGGGCTTGTTTTACAAAAAAAACAAATCCAGATTCAAAAAACTTTTCGTTCCCCGCGCCATATCTAGGGAGTATATTCATTATTAAAAGCATCTGGCAAGCTAGATCATAGTTCTTCCTGTTTCGTTTCTTTAACGAGCCTTCTCCAGCAGTACTCACAACCATAATTTACCATGTCCTTGAAATATGATGATTCTGGAACATATTTTCCTTACAGAGATGCAATTTTAGAGTATATCTGTGGACCCTTAATTATTTATTTGGACCCACTTACAGATTATGTATATACTCCTTTCAAGATCCAGAAAGTTTTTGCCGTTGTGTTTTGAAAATAATAATTGAAATATCTTGAGGCCGCTGTTATAGGCCTGTGTTTTTCGTGAACTCAAATTGCCGTATATTATTAAAACTGCCAAGAATCCTACCAGGAAATGGTTTCACACTGGCTATTTAATTTATCCAATGCTCTTAAGCTCATTTGAACATAGAAATATTTTTACCTACAGTTACGTCTAGAAAAGAATTGCTACGTTTACCTATACGTTTTACCTATTTCATATAAGTTCATATAAATAAAGACACAAGTCATCAGCACAAACCAATTATTGTTGGTTTCTACACATGTTATTGTGCGGTTCTGCTGTTTTAGCACTAAAATGATGTAATGGTACTCGAACAGAAATCCACGCATGCTAGTGTTTACATAGCATAAGGCTAGCCAAATATCTTTAGATATCCCGAAACGTTGTTGAATTATTGTTATTATTATTATTATTAATAATAATAAATAATAATATTATTAAAATTACACAATGCACTCTTCATTGTAGTCGCTCGGGGTTCCGCTTCGTGTTAACGTAAGTGGAATAGTGTTTATTTCATGGGAGCGTCAAGAAAGCGCCTTTTTGTGACGGTACACACAATACACGTCGGATTCAGGGATTTTTAGAGCCCAATATACTATGACATTTCCGCTACTAAGGACAAAAATGCAGGTTTTACTGCCCTAGTAGAGCCTGCGCTGTTTGCTTCCCTTATATTCAAACAAAGCAAAACCCGGGTAACTGGCTAGACGTCTGGCCTAAATTATTTTATTGTTTTAATTTGAGACAATGGTTGGCCGTTTCAAAGGAAGCTTATTGCTCTTATTTTGTCTGAAAGATCCACTGCAAACACATTTCCCCATTATCCTTCCTCTTCAAAGTCAACGAGGGCAAGAGTAGAGAATTTCTGCAGAAGAATGATCAAAGGCATCAAACTTGAATTTTCTCAGTCATTTTAGTTTGTTTCTTTATGTTTTGCCAAAGATTTTCTTCTCCACCAGGTCCAAACGTACAAATTACGGGTCGGCGGTACAATGATTTTGAAGCAGAACTATGAAATGACATTCCACAAATTACACGTATTATAAACATATTATTGCTCTGCGTTTTGTTCTTGTTATTTGCGCAATAATATCAAGAGAGATGTCTGTGATTAAGAAAAGCAGGTATAAGGAGAAGTATCTACAAAATTGAAGTTTAGCCCCTGACTTCGGACAACGCAATATTTCCCCAAATGTCGCGTGAATTTACTTACATAGAACAACAATCTTTATACTTTATTAATTTTAAAACGTGTTTTGCAAGTGGCCACATATGTTTTCAACCTTCATTTGTAATTATCATTGCTGCTATTTATTGAATGGTGTTTGTTTTTTAATCGCAATTATTTAATATAGATATAAGTTAAATACAGTAGGCTACGTGTTAAATCGAAGAACATTAATTGTTGTTGAGATTAATTTTAAGTATTCAGAAATTTTTGCAGATAGCGGTGCATTCAATGTATTCAATATTGATCATATTAATAATATGCCTATATTAATACTGAAAGTTAAATAATCTACACAAATGTAGTCGGAAGCTACAATAAGATTAAGTATTGGTGTCAAAAATTGCACCCCTGTAAAATCAAACATACCAAAAATTAAACGTTTTTGATTAAATTATTCTTCATTTAACCACATATAACCACAGACAGTTAGCTTTTCTTCACGAAATGTGATTTTAGTCTTATTTGCCATCTCGCATGAATTTCTTCACACATACAACAATATTACTCAACTACGAACACTAGATGTCGCTGTTGATTCATGGGTGGTTTTGTTTCTTCTCTTCAAAACAGCTAAAATGTGAAAGTTTTACCATGTAATTACACAAAAATGGCACGGAATAAGTTTCAGTTAGAATAGAACACAGTTGGACATTGATTTATGCCCAACTGTGTTGTATTCGTGAAGTGATATATAATAGTAATACACAGGAATACATGTACAAATATACAGAGATGGTCGAAATACAAATACGTTTAATGTTATTTATTCTTTTTAGAGAAACATGGTCCATATTAAACATTAAGCATCGATTAAGGCTGTTATTTCTGAAATTACAAACATTTCTTCCTTATAATGAGGAAGCGAAACATTTTTTTCTAATCGGGGCGGCGGACCAACAAAAGGAAAGTTTTTTGGGGGGGGGGGGGCAGGAATGCACACAGTGGAATAGAATTAATAAGAATACTATGGATAGAGAACAGTAGGGAAGCCAAAATCGTACAGCAATAATAGGAGATTCATATATTACACGTTACTGATAAAAATGCCATAACCGTCATTTTATAAGAAAATCAAAAACGTACGCAGAATTTACGTACAATTGCAGAATTAGTTACATTTATGTTAAAAGATGATAACTACTAAATATAAAATAAATACAGCCTGCAATATGCATATAATCCTAATCGCCATTGTTAGCCATCGTCCATATTGGATTTAACACATCAAATACTGTAATGGTGTAATGTAAAATTGTGCCTTGTTAAAGTATCTATCATTCGTCTGTCAGCTCCCGATTATTGTTTTTTAAATGTATTTTAATGTAGCTAGATATAATCAGCAGTCACGCAGAACAAAAGAAACAAGCGTGACTTCTTGTGGGTTCACGGGGCGAAAACAACGCAGTAATTTAATTCGGTGAATATAACGACAAATAATTCCGTTATCTTCATTTAATCGATTTTTCATGATTTATTTCTTTTCGACAGATGTTGGATCACGTCAAGACAAATACAGGCAGATACATTGTCAATGATTCTGAGCGTTCTCGTGTCAAGTTAGCCTCGATACCATATTGTCATTGACTTTTAATAAGAAATTAGCCTGGCAAACCATATTCACATCAATAAAATACCATAATTACAGTTAGTGATCGTTTGATATTAGGAAAACTATTAGTAGAATTATAACAGAGGCTTAACTCCAGTCAATAAAATAATAATAGTATAAATTGTATTACTGATATAATTGCTATTAATAATTTAATTTTTAAAAATCAGTTAAAACATAACGTGGTGTAATTATAGTGCAGCTGATGCGTAAACAGTTCTCGTCGTTTATGCCAAATCAAGTGAGATATCAAAATACATTCATTGCCAGGCATTCATGACAATCGTTATTCTTCACCACAGGTTTCCTCCGTAGGAACAGTTGAAAAACCAGTAAGCATTGTTCGACATTGCTTCATAATGTTGTTCAAGGTAGAACGTCTGAAACTGCTCGTGGATGGGGGAAGGGGGGGCTTTAAAGGTTGGTGGAGACTGAAGAGGAGGGGGTCGATGGAGTGGGGGTGGGAAGAAAAAATCTCCTGTGCGTGTATCGTCCGACCTAGCCAGCTTTAGCCCAAGCACGCAGACACAGCACACGACATGAGCAGGATTTGAAGCGGCAAATAGGGGAAAAAGAGGAAGGACAGAGGAAGGCACTCAGATACGAGAAAATTTCAGAGGGGGAAGAGAGAGAGCGGTGCGGGATTGTTCAAACAAATAGCGATTTTACCCCCTCCCTCATGTTCCGGTTGTTGTGTCTGAGTTTTATGAGACTTGGGATATAGTTTTTTTTATTACAAGAGCAAACGGTTTAAAAACAACATTTTATTGTGAATGCGAAAAAAAATGAGCTCTTATTTTGTTAACCCTCTTTTCTCTAAATACAAAACCAGCGAAACATTGGAACCATCTTACTACGACTGTCGGTTCCCTCAGAGCGTCACCCGGAGCCATGCGCTGGTGTACGGACACGGAGGAGCAGCGCCTGGATTTCAACATCCGTCCCATCACGTCCAAGACTTTTTCCATCACGGCACTTCAGGAATCTCTAACCCGGGGTTCCAGCAAAACCCGTGCGCTTTGGCTTGCCACGGAGATGCCACTAAATTTTATGGATACGAAGCCCTTCCAAGACAATCACTTTATGGTACCCAGCAAGAGGCAAGCATAGCGCAATATCCAGACTGTAAATCGTCAAATGGCACGAACCCTGGAGAAGGACAAGGGCACTTAAATCAAACCCCGTCCCCAAGTCTCATGTTTCCTTGGATGAGACCTCACGGTCAGAAATCTTTGTATTCCAATACTCATGTGTGTCAGTTCTAAGGAGATTCTATGTTTGTGTGTGTGTGTTTGTGTATGTGTGTGTCTCTTTGAATGTGTTTCTGTGCCGTGAGGATTGACTGCTGGAGCGTCAGTAGGCCGCTTTTTCGCAAAGATTTCATATTCATACATCCGCTTCTTAACAGGCTACATGCAAACAAAGTCAGGTGTTCATAGTACTCACATTTATGCAAAGTTCTCGTCGATATCCAATTTACCCAGTTTTATATTCCATTAATTGATGCTGCCATGTATTACTTTGTAATGGAGAAATAATGAGCGTTATACTAAAGCTTTGCATGTCGGCTAATAAAGTCCAGTGCACAGAACGCACAGCAACGCACAGAAATCCATCAAAAAAAGAAAAAAACAATCGCAAAAGCTCGGGATGAAATTATGAGTAGAATGATAAATATTCTTTATCTTTTAACGCTTTCGTATTCAACGTCAGAACGTAGCCTACGCACCTGTTCACACACAACGCGAACAATTGACAGTAATAACCGTCTAATACCCTCTTATCAAAAACACTTTGGCCTGTGGTTTTGTTTGGGTACGTTACAGGAACACTCAACATAACTAGGACTGAATAAGTTTGTCTGAAATGCCTGTAAATAAACGAAAAATAAATAAATAAGCATACGAGGTGAGCACATTTTGTTGTTGAGAAAATATGCACACATTGCACAATTATTTTTTTTTTGTGTGGTTTATTTTGAAGTATTTTATACATTTTACACATGTATATGTAAAACACGTAAATATACCACATTTTTAACTGCATGAAAATGCTCAGTTAAATAACTAGTAAGGCTAGCCGCATCCTGCACACTAATACAGAATTAGTGAATAAATGTCCAAATGTAGAACACAGTAAAAGTCTTCCAGTTTACTAAAATTTGGTGGTAGACAACATGTCTGTTTGTACGCGCAGAAGAAATGTATCAATATACCCCTTTACAATATGCTACACACTTAAAATATAAATAAAAAATACTTACAACTTCCGAGTAGTATAATATATTCCTTTATTATGCAAAATGTCACACAGTGGATCCACTATGATATGAGGTTACATGTTTTGTTAATGTTATACGTGTTACATTTGGTATAATCTCAACTGGTACCTCGCATTCTCAATATAGATTATTTGTTGCGGATTACTTGTTTCGTTTTATAGCTCCGGGACGGCGCAGTGGACGACAGACTTACAGTCGTTATCAAACACTGGAATTGGAGAAGGAGTTTCTGTTCAATCCCTACCTTACACGTAAGAGACGCATTGAAGTGTCTCATGCACTTGGCCTGTCGGAGCGGCAGGTGAAGATCTGGTTCCAGAACCGTCGTATGAAGTGGAAAAAGGAAAATAACAAAGACAAATTCCCGGGACAGAGAGGGGAGGCCGAGACCGACGCCGACGAGGAATGTAACGAGGATGGCGAGGGGGGAGAAGATGAAAAAAAGGAAACGGAAGAGAAAGATGAGACTAAAAAGTGATTTTATTGCCTTTCTTTATGGTTATATGGCATGAAGGCCATACAGAGAGTGTGTGGGAGAGAGAGAGAGCCAGAGAGCGCATAAACTTTATTGCCACAGTTTAATTGAGTCAACAAGTGAGAAAAATCCCAGAGTCGTAACTGTCAAACCATTTCCCTTCGCCACGCGCTCCCATGATAGAACGAAAAATCGTCTGAAGTCCATTTATCTTGATCTGCAAGAAACATCCACTATTTGAGAAATAATAACAGTTGTTTACGAAATGTTGCTGCTTTGCAACTCCAGTCTAGTTCCCAATCGGGACGATGTGAATTGGTTTATGTAATTTTGAATCAAAGGGAGAGCCACAAAACACAATATCGGTTTAATTACCGTCTCAGTGCAAATAGAGCCATTGCTATTATAAAAAACGAAAATATAAAATTAATTACTTTATGAAACGTCACAATAATGACGAAATTACAGCATTCACTGTCCCTTTTAATTTTAAAGATCCTGGTCCAATTCAAAATATGCAGGCCTGGAGATTCTATTCACTGCTGCATTTTGCAGATGCTACGGGACGTAATAAGTGGAGTGTTGGAGTTTAGAGCACTTTTTCCTCTAAATTTAACCATACATATTCAAAACAACTATTCAGCAGCTCGGACATGCACGTGGTTTTAGCCATGTCACATTTACAGAATTACTGTTGACTATCATTTGAAAGTTAAGACAGTTTTACATCGCCGATGCTTTTAATTCCATTGTTGGATTTCAGCAGACTGCGTCGATTTATGACCCCTGCGTATGAATTTAATGCTCTAGCCATGGAAACATACTTTCCACAATGAAAGTTGTACTGTTGAAGTGACTGTAAATTAACTTTCTGTGTTTTATTAAAATATGCTGTGTAACTTATAAAATGTAATACTACCTATGATTAGTTTTTATTTGTATTTCTGTTTTGTTTTATTTTAAATGTTTTGTAGCCCTAGAGCTTTGCGTTAGCTTGGACACTGCTATGCAGCTGAATTCATATAATATATATAAAATTTCTCCCAACAACTTAAACTGCCTACACAATGTTAAAATGCACATTTTGTTTTTTTATTACTCTTAACTAGAATTTCAATTGTTATTATTATATTGTATTGATGTTATAGAGTAGGTTTTTATTGCACTGAATATAATCTCCATGTATGTCTATTCGTATCTTGCTGTTAGCAATATGCTCGTTTTCTTATGTTTTAATGAAAGATTTCTGAATGTTCTGAGTGACAAAAATGAAATAAATAAAACACGAATCATCAGATGAATATGGGTCTCTATGCCCCGATCGATTCTCAGTCGTGTGGTTTAAAGTGCAACTTGGTTAAATGTTAACTTGGTCTTACCATTAAGTCGGAGAATCAGCAGCAAGGCTTACCTGTTTGTTAAATTGCATAAGCTATTATAGCGTCATTGCATAAACGAGTAGGTAAACGAAATAGAAGGAAAGTAAAAAAACAAAACTGGAGACTAAGGCGGGGGGAGGAGGGGGGGGGTTCATGGCTTGACACAACTTGTAAAGCCGTCCTGGGTTAACTTCTGGTTAGTTTTCATTCTCGGAAGTTTCGATAAAACGTAATGATACAGTTTGACGTATTTGCTTAAACATATATGCTATAAAAATAAGTGTTTAAAAGGTGAAGTTCATTCATTTTAAGACAGTTTCAGATACCTGAAAATGATTTCGTTTGAAATACGCGAAACATAAGAACGATGTTTCACAGTGAAGAGCCCAGCTAGTGTGGCTCAAAACTACCAATTTCCGCGACAAGTAAAATTTTACAGATAAAGCTTTAAGAATTAATGTTTATAATTTAATAATTATTAAAGCTATTTTCTGAGAACTTGAGGCATTTATAGAATTTAACTGCCGTTACAGGACAGGATAGACAGATACTACCTTAAATGATCTGCATGCATAATATAAATTGTCAGCAGCAATTAAAATGTAAAACGTAAACAAATTACGCTTTTAAACATTTGACCACACTTTGTTTAAAATCATGTTGTAATTTCGTTTTTATAATTATTTCTAGGATTAGGAGCAAAATACACAAATTAAAACTCGATGTAAACGACAGTTATTGAAACGAACGATGTCAAATTTTATCCATGCACACTCATATTACGCAAGGGGCAAAAATATTTTGCAGTATTTCAATTTTGAATTTACTTTACAAAACAATTTACCGACGTACATACAGATAATAAAGTCCTTAATAAGGACACAGCGCATTAATTGATGTTATTAATATTCCAATTGTCTTTGGGTCACCATTGTTTGTTAAGTCTCTTGTTTTTTCTTGAAGCGAGTCAAAATGTGTAACCAACAATAGTTCAAAATTAATATTTCAGGTAGTGTACCCATAAACAAATCAATGGGTATGCTTGAAGCAGAATAGTACTATATTTTGCTTTTACTACGCTTTGCTAAAATACACAAGAAAAAAAAAAACCAAAAATATATAGGCCTAGAATAATTTTTAATGTCAGTTAATGATGCCAGAGTTTTTCCTTTTTGTGAGCTTTCTTATGCAGATCTACGTGCTGTCGTCATTGGAAAGACTGCAGTGTCGATCCAAATATCTACACTTCTAAAAACAACAAGATATGTTACAATATATATACCACTTTCCCATTCATAGTTAAACATGGTATATTTATTTTCTTATGATTGTTTTGAATTTCCTTTCGCTCTTTCATTCGTACTAAAAATCTTAACCAGAAACTGGCAATGAATATCTCAAGAGTTGATGATATTTGGCAATTGCGCACTTATTGAATATATAGCACCCACTTCAAACTAAACTAAATACACAGACTACATGATACATTTATTGTTTTCAGTCATTTTAAAATTCTGTAACTTGATTTGAATAACCTGTCCCCAAAATATACAGTTAAAAAGAAGTTGTGCGTGTGAATTAATATTCATAAGCCTTTTGGGGAAGTTAATATTAAGTTGCAAAGGAAACAAAATTACATTATTCCACAAAAAGATTATACGGCGGGAAAGAAGAACATTAATAAACGTTATTTTCAGATTTCAGAAGTGTAAACGTGAAATAAAAGTCTTAGCTGTACTGTTAACTGAATTTAAGGAAGATAGGCTCTCAGGAATAGCCGAGCATTAAACGACGCTACACGTGAACATGTCCTGCGCCCCCATGTTCGCGTGGATGCGCGTGCGCGCGTTGGCAATGCGTCCAGATTGATTAAGTTGGTCGTCAACGTGCTGGAATCAAATCAAATGCGCTGGAAATCTATATACTTCCTCATATCTTACATAATGTAAAACTGAACCCATTGAAATATACCATCATTTAAAGACTAAACAGACAGCATCAAATTTTGCAAATATTTATCTGTAATTCATCTTATTTTTTGGCCTTTTTGTGCTATTGCCACAACTTTGACTTAGGCATTAAGTTACACTGAACTTGAAACCAATGTTTTAATAATGACAAAAGCCGCGACGCATACAAGATATTTTTACTGCTGTTTAAAAACATGTAACTTTAGTTGAGTGCAATTTGTAATGGTGTTGCAACATTTATTTGAACGTCTCTGTTTAAGTAATTTAACAGATATTTACTGCGGTGGTCCTTATTTTCCTGTTTTTTACAATTACAGTTTCATGGGGAGTTTATGATTCCATATGAAGATTATGCACATAATGTGTGAGAAATACCAAGAAACAGCTCTGTCAATAAAAAATGGTTGGGGTGGGGGCCGGGGGGACATGCGCAACGCATTCTTGGTTGTTTGGGGAGAAATTTACAGCTAAGTAATAAAACTTTACGATTGAATCGTTGCTTGGATTGGTTAGAGCTGGTCACATGACTCCGTCTTCATGAACCTGAACTTTGTACTGTAGTCTTTCTTCGGATCACACGTTCTCTACACCACTGCAGACTTAATGGTAGCGTAGAAAAGAGACCAGTCACTTTTAATTTCCCATTGGTGTTATGCGTTATTTAGTCTTACTGGATGTTAGGGGAAAACGTTATTTCTAAGCCCCTCACGCTACTACCATTACGCTGCGCTCCGGTGACTGTATCGTCTCCTCTTCTTTCTCTCCTGTCTCTCAGCCCTTAGCTGGCAAAACTGTATTTTTCTCTCTCAGTTGGATTCTAATAGAACACGAGGATTCAGGTTACAAATATCGTGCTGTCGTGTGCGATTTCGAGCCTTCCGTGACTCCATTCAAAACAAGCAGTGCTTTTCTTTGCATTGCGTTTCTGCGTCTTTACTCGCCGTCACTCCTGCTCGCCATAACGTTGGAGCACCATACATGCGTCACAGTAACAGCGAAGAAGACGCGGGTAAGTGGGGGATCCCCCGCTGCTTATTGGTTTAAATGTTCATCTAATAGTGCATATCAATAGTAGGTAGGGATATGATGCAACAAATGTTCTTTTTTCGGCCCCAAAGGAATTGTGGACATAGGATGAATGCATATTACGAGTGAAAGCTTGGTAAAGTGAACCCTGCTCTCATCTGGATTTTAATACAAATGGAGTGTAAGCTTATTGCAGGAGTTTATGCCTTTTCGGTTGTATTCGTATCATTATTAGCACTGGTTCGCTGTCTATACGAAGGGCGATTCTTCCTACGTGGAAATACATTGTTTTAACAATGCGCAAAATCTAAAAGACTTAAAATGTCATAAGTGGTTTTGTGGACTCAAACAGATATTCTTTCTATGTGATGTAGACTTTTGCTTGTGATTGGTGAGTTGGCGTTACAACACGCATATATTTGACAAGGCCAGTAATTAGTTACGCCGCTAGTACATTTTCCAGCGTGTCAACGGCTATTACTAAATATTCTGTATGCATGGTTGATTCACAAGGTAACGTGTTATAGGCGCTATTCGTCAGATTCATGATGTGCTCTGTCGTCAGGCAGGATGTAAATAAGGTACAGTAACGCTGCTTCTGGCCTAATGTATACAGAAAATGTTCCCAGCACTCAAGCGGCTTGCGCATGGAACCGAAGCAAAATGTCAGTGGTTGCTTAATGTCCTCGTTGTGAGAGGGACATTAAGACGGTGCAATGTTTGTTATACCGTCTCCTGGTATAGTGTCTGCAAAGGTATTCCCGGCGATATGTGATTAACACGTGAGGAGCCACTGGGACATATGAGAAAAGCAAGCTGTCGTGTATGTGGAGGCACTAAACAGTGGTGGGGGGAGTGGTCGGTTGCATATTTTTATTCTGTTTGCATGTATTTTAATGGTAAGTGACATCATATTTAGTTTTTCACTACCCTTGCACAGATATGTCTTAAAATGATCGCTTGCATCAAGGCAACATTCATCTACGGTCATTCTGCTGTTCCATCGGAAACGCCATTTGTCGTTGTAGTAGCCTAAACACGTCCAAAAAATAGAATATATGTGTTCTTTTACCTGCTCTCTTTTGGTCGAATTCTTCACTGTTCTGTGCAGTCAGTAATAATTGTGTTAAAAACATTTCTTGAACTTCCGTTCACGGATGTGTATACCTGTGTAAATATAATTCATTCCGCAGCATTAAATAATAAGATTACTTGTTGATGTATAAAACTAATTACTCTGCCTTTGGTATACAAGCTTGTGTCTATGCTAATTGGTAATATGTGAAAAATAATCTGGGCACAGCTTTTTGTCTGTAAGAGGACAAAGGATATATAAATATAGGTCAATATCAATGTTTAATATCATAAATTCCATAGAGCAAACGTTAATGGTAACAGTGTTGTCCAATTGAATGGACTCGTGAGGAAAAAAAATTCAAATGGATTTTTAAGACTTTCAGGCAAGAGTACAAAGGTTATTTTAAGTCCAAAAAAGACCAGTCCTGTCACCTTAACCCATAAACTGTGTTAAAGCGGAAGAATAATTAAAGAGAGAGAATGTCGCACTTGTTACTTTTCTAAATATATATTCTATTTATGACAAGTGTCATTGTAACTGGACAGTCGCAAGTAATGAGGGCAGAGCTACCAGGAGCGTAAAAAGAAAATGAACCACAATAGCTATTTATATAAACGATTTGCTAAGATTTCTTACACGATAAATATTTTCTATTTAAAAATGTACAATTTTACAGTTCTTCAAAATATTCTGTCAAAATTCTAATGACCAATTTCATTTTAGAATAATTATATATATTGTTACAAAATATTCTATATACAATGCTATCAAGCAATTTCGCCATCATACCAATAAGGTGTGAAAATTTGTTTTTGATTCTATATGGCAGCAGCACTCTGTCCATTACGCTATTTTAAAATTAAATGTACGTATTATTGTATATATTTTAAACTACTGTATTTTCAGAATCCTTCACCTGCCTATGAGTTTCTGAAGTACTTTGTGATTGGGTCTTGTCCTCCCATGTTTAACACATTGGAAAAGCAACCCCGTCGACCCGCCCCCATATGTAAATAGATAAATACAACACTGCCACCTTGTGTCAATTTATCAATTTATTTGGCAATTAAATATATGAATTACTGTTTGCCATAAATAATGGATGCACAAATACGCACAACAGTATCGATATCCTGCATTATTAGGTGAATACGCGTTACTTCATCAATCCTCTAAGTCTCTGTATGTTTAAGACCGTGATGAGAACTTACGTGTGACATTGAATCATGTTTCTCCTATTGAACTTGTAGTCAAGCGGACATATACGCTGTATTATGACGTAGATGGCTCAATGCTTAGTTTTATTTGTATTACATTCAGCAATAAGTATATGAAGTGATTATTATATAACCGTTTATGTTTATATACAATGATGACAGTGATACAACTTCGGACTTTGAAATAAACCAAAGGGCCGCTCGTGCAGTTTCTCATTTTAATATCGCAAACCATCGGAGGCGTCTATGATGAAGTACAGCTGTATGCAGGACGCACAAAAAATGCAAAATAACATTTATTAAGCAAACATTTACGTAGTTAGCAGTTATACATGAGTATAGGAATATTTTTAATTCACGAACCAAATACAATAAATATATCAAGTGATTTTGTTCCTTATAATAGGAGTGAACGAACAGATTAAAATTTCTGGTCAGTTAAACTTTTACACAATGTTATACAAATATATAGACCTGGCTATATGAACAAAGACATAATTAACCTTATGGTGAAGACGACGGCTTCGGATATTACGGCTCTGGTTTTTCCACATACGGCAGGTTTTGTAGCAAAAGCGTGGCAAAAGACGTCGGCCAGCTGTGACCAGTCTTCCGGTACTGTGCCGAGTTCCGGAACCCCTGTGGTGCAGAACAGGCGCCTCCGCGGTTCCTCAGTAATAGCGTCGCTGTTAAAGAGAACGAGATAAAAGAGGAGGCGTAACATTTACGTAGCACTGAAATTGTTTAATTTCAGTTAATTTACACACAATAGTGTGAAAGTTAACCAATTAATATATTATTAATCAGTAATGGCAAAACATTGTTCTTCAGTGAGATATGAAAAACGTCGCATTGGTTCAAGTATCTCGCGCTCGGGCATGTGGTGTGTGTGTACATGATGGTTTGGTATAAAAAGAATGGAGAATGGAGAAACACGCCTTACCAGCTTATATTTTATTATTAATTGTTTATTTATGTATTTTAATATTAGTTGGCGAATATTATGCGGCCAAGTTATATAAACGGAATAATAATAATAATAATAATAATAATAATAATAATAATATCGCTTTGACCACGTAATAGACTAACAGCATGGATGGAAGGATATTTATTATAATCAGGACACATATTTTTAAAAAGAATTAAAATATATCAAAGTTTTGTGGGCTTAAATATCAGCTAATTTGATGTGCAATAATTACACAAGTCATTATGAGCAAATCTGTTAGGTGAAATATCGAACATAGTTTGTTTATATAATTAAAAGGTGACCATCTAAGTCCGCGTGTATGTTTCTAATAGCTACCAGGCACGTTTTAAGAAGCCTGGAATACATTAACTTCAAAACCAATGGCCTTTCGTCACTGCACAAGCACCAAATATAATTAAAACCTATTATACACGTGAAGTCATGTACGTATGCGTCACTGATATAAATGTCCATTTTTAACGATGCTCGGTCCTTAAGGATATTTTGTTGTTTTACAAAACATTAACGTTAAAATGGTCGCAATCGTATTTAAAAGGTAATAATCTCTTCAATTAATGAATATATAAAGTAGGTGTAAAGGAAATACGAAATAATACGAAATTATTGTGACATATTACAAGCTGTCGAAGTGAACATGTATTAAAACTTGAAGAAAGTATTAAATACCTTTTCATTATTTTAAGTTGAATGCCAATTAAAAGAAGTACACTAAGCAGAGAGAAAAATTGATTGAACCCAGACCTAAGTGATAAATAGCAAACGACAATGATTGCTTTGGCTGTTCAGGCTTGTTTTAACATTCCACGCGCCAGTAAAACTGCTTGGTCAATTTATATATTAAATGTTATTAAATAATATTAACGCTGTTCCCCCATTTTTTATGTTTATGAACAGAAACAAATACTGTCCTCACGGTCCATTTATAGTTGTAGATACAGATCCAGATCGTTATATGTCTAACAGTAAATTGTTTTGTGATGTTTATTTCAAGTAGCGGTGCCCATCGTGGCTGTTACTTTTGTTTTCGATGAGGCAATAAAACACTTTCAAGTTTCTGCTCAGTTTATGGCAAGCGCTAAAGTAGTCAGCCGTCCGTAGGTTATTTAGCAGTTGACTGAAGGTCGCGACAGCTTTTTAATTCCACAAAACGGCTGGGATTTTCGAGCTTGTACTTTCAATGGCAAACGCCGTGATGTATTGATATACACAGTAAAACTGCTGATCACCTAAATAATATGATACCGTTTTGGAAAACCCTCCTTTAAGTTCATGCAGAATAAAATGTAATATAGACGTACCATATTTTACCCGGCAACGAGTGCGTCATAATTGTTAAGTGTTTGTGAATTAAAATGTCTTATTTCACATAACCGATCGCCCAACTTTCACAATGGTTTGTATACAGCAATCCTATTGTTTGGCTATAAAGCTAAAGTTTAATACAGGTATTTAGTCTTGTACATATATATAGGCTAATGCTATATTTTAGTAGCGTTATACTAATTTTATACCAGTTTTACTTGCCTGCTACTTCGTGATCATGATAGCCTAAGAGCGCTATGTGAATGGCCGACCTGAAGATTTCAGAAGCATTTTCCTTCCTTTCATACAAGATATCACTCTAATGAAATCGGTTCGGAGACAGCAGGCCTAAAAATACATGTGTTTTTGCTTTATATTTCATTGCAAAGAAACGCAAAGAAACCAGTGCGAACAAGTATTAAAGTTATTTTTATTAGTGCATAAACCGCTAAACACTATTGCATATACTGCCCCTACATACATAAAAATAGAATACAAACGCATAAAATGTATTTGCCCTAACGTCCTCGAAAATAGTGGGGAGGCTGAGATGCCCTGGCGATTTGCTGGAAGCGGTCACCTGTCTGATTTTATGACTTCTCTAGCTTACACAGGCGTTAAGACATTCTTCTGCAGTAAAACAGATTTACTCCTAGTCCCCGCTCCACATGCATGCGCACCATGTGTACACAGCGGCGTTTCTTTCTGGGGTTTCATCGGGGTTATACACTTAGCAACGCGACCAGTAAACACGCCAAAATGGTTGTTCTTTAGAAATGCAAGAAATTGCTATTTTACAGAAACATTTTGTTCTGATCTTGGGCGCATTTAAGAACGTAATGTTCAATGTGCGATTGGTGCTAAAATATCACTATCAATATGTTAACAGCTATGTTTTCATGTTTAACCCAGGTATAATATCCTCGCTCTCGCAAAAAGCTTTTAACATGATGTCAGTGATGCATTCTCGGCCTGCAAGTGTCTTGCATATTACCAGAAATATTCTAGCGCTGGTAGAGGACGGAGCCAGTGAATTATTCGTAAACTGGACGTGCATTAATATAATAATAACGAGTGAATTAAGCCGCCAAGATTAAGATCAGAACGAAGCCGGGTTGTTCCTTTCAATCAGCGTCAAATCGCGCGCTAATTTACTGTGTATCGATTAAGTGTTTCTGCACTAATATAAAAGTTTCTGTGCATCTTAATTTCGTTTTCTTATTCTTCGGATCTATAACAAAAACAGATCGGTGTCATTTGCTTTTAGGCGTTGGAGGATGTTATTTAGATTAAAAGTGAATATTGATGTAAACACACAAAACAGCGGAAATAAAAAATACATTTTGCCCCATGAATTAATGAAAGATAAACGCAGCTCACTTTCTAGGTTTGCCACGTTAGTCTTCACGTTGTTTTTTATTCCGACAACCGTTTGCAGGATCTTTTAATGCACAAGGCGTCTTTAAGTTGTGTTAAACCCCTATAAAGTTAATGCAATTAAATACCTAAAATGTCGAAATGCGTTTTAAATGATTATTAATAAGCGTCTTCCTGCAAGCAATAAACTGAAATTTTTATATGTCCGATTTATTTTCTGAATTTTCATTTTCAAAAAGGTTTCTTTAAATCATCTATTTCAATTAAAATTGAAATATATTGCTAGAAAAGAAAGATGCTTATCGATCTGAGATACTACGTTGTCAAGATAATTCTACGACTAGGTAATTGGATTACTGTACCCTGCGTGCAGTTGGCTAATCAGATTTTCTTTTAAACACGACAGTCATGAATATATAACTATATATAACATAGACATATGGACCCGTCATGCAAATGAATATACAAGTCTTGTTACGTTACTTTTTAAGTGTTAGTTTTTCTTCATAATCTCTTGGACTCATACATTCACTTTTTTACGGATCGATTCGATTATGGATCAGATTCTAGAACGGGACAGTCAGAAAAATTACTAAACATTCATAAATACAACGGTGTTCAATCGTATGTGTGTGTGTGTGTGTGCGCGCGCTGGTGCTGTGCGTGCGTGTGTATGTGTGTGTGTGCGTGCGTGTGTGTGTGAGTGAGTGAGTGAGTGCACTGCTATTTCCGTCAAATGAATAAAAAAACGAAGTTTTTCCCCCCCACTTTCCTTCTATTCCTCGCTTTTTATTGGAGGAACATGGTCAGCTGACATTGTCATTCTCTCTGACTTGGGTTGAAGCCTTAGCTATAACATTCGAGCTGTGTGCCTCTAGCGAAGCCCTGAAATAAATTAAACAGAAATCACAGTCCGCGCTCCTGTTAAAACACAGAAAAAATAAAGAAGGAGAGAACGAGAGACAGGGAGGCAGAAAGAAAAACGGAAAGAAAAAGAAAAAGTGGGAGGGAGGGAGAGAGAACGAGAGGGAGAGAGGCAAGGTATGAATTCGTATTTCGCAAATCCGTCGCTCCCTTGCCATATAGCTGGTGGTCAAGAAGTTTTACCCAACGTGGCTCTAAATTCGTCCAGCTATGACCCCGTTAGACATTTTTCGTCCTACGGGACAGCCGTGGCCCAGAACCGGATCTACTCCTCACCTTTCTATTCGGCCCAAGATAACGTTGTTTTTGGATCCAGCCGGGGACCGTACGAATATGGAGCTAACGTGTTCTACCAAGACAAGGATGTTCTGCCTAGCTGCAGGCAAACTAGCATGGGACAGACTGCACAGAGCTCGCTTGCACAGGACTACACCTCGGAACAGGGCAGAACAGGATCACAAGAGCAGAAAGGAAGCATTCAAATCTATCCATGGATGCAGCGAATGAACTCTCACAGTGGTATGTATTACAACTCCAAGAGATAAATTAAATAAATTGGCCTGTTTTATGACCGGCCCGGCAACAGAACAAGCGAAGCTCCTTTTTATTACCTCATAAAGCATTACTGCAGCACTCTGTCGCCGGCTATAAAAGCCTTTTATCTTTACAGGAAATCCCTTTTGGTCAAGCGACCACCATCCCCCACCATCGCCAGAAATTAACAAAAGTTTTTAAGGCGTTTTGTATAGTATTAATCAATTTTCACTATTTATACTGAAGCCTAAAAGTCAGGCAATGCTTCACACATTCTTCAGAGTACCCTCGCGTAGACTTACCTTACTTTTGACCATGTTAAAATGTATTTGCATATAAAGGTAGAAGCAACTTATTTAGTATTTCGACTCCTGAAAATGCCAGTAATTCCATATAATTCTGACGCAAACCGAGTGCATCCACGCGATTGTGTGCTGCAGTAATGAAATGCCTTTATTTTAATTAATTTACTTAATCTGAACTTTTGAGTCAGCTTTCATACAGCATGTGAAATTTGGGTAGTGTAATATGAAATACTATAATGAATATATGAAAATAAAATGTAAACACCATTTTAAATGTATTTTTACACAGGAGTCGGATACGGGTCAGATAGACGGAGGGGTCGGCAGATTTACTCCCGGTACCAAACTCTAGAACTCGAGAAGGAATTCCACTTCAATCGTTATTTGACCAGACGCAGACGTATCGAAATCGCCAACGCTCTCTGTCTTACAGAACGCCAGATCAAAATCTGGTTCCAGAATCGCCGTATGAAATGGAAAAAAGAGAGCAATCTAACTTCGACTTTGATGGAAAACGGATCTACTGGAGCAACTCAAGAAGCAGAGAAGGAGGATACCGAAGTGGACACGGACGAGAAGAAAAAGGAGAAAACGCCGATTTCCTAATCCACAAATACATTAGTGGTATATCAAAGTATAATTAAACTACCTATCTTAAATTTTATTTGGCACAATTTTTACACATAGGTATGCACACATGTTCGCACGCATATATGAGTGCGCGCACGATATCACACAATTGCACACACATATAACGACAGCAAGATGCATTTAAAATGGACATCACTGTGCTATAGTAAGAAACATGCAACTTCAGGAAATACATGTTTTCGCTTTAATTGTTTCGTGTCAGATTTGAGTGATCCTCGTTATGGACAGAATTCCATTCAATGACTTGACATTCCCTGATCATTCCCTGCTCTACAAGAATGGACTGCGGTAAAACAACGGTTCTAGTACCCTTAAAACATATCGGACGCTTTATACTAAAATACTTTGTCTCATAAAATTCTGTGAACTTGTATCTGGCAAAATGTTTTCCTTAACGTGGAAACCTGCTGTGTGCTAATTAAGCATCGCACACGTAGGTTATTCCCGATAAGTGTGAAGGTAATGACGCATTTTGTTTATTACGAGCATTCGTGCTGTCTGTTTAGCTAATTTCTTGTATAAATGCATATGAACAAAAGTTGTACTTGGACGAACTATACTACCTGAATTGTTAATATGACTTGTATATATGGTGTGCTTTATTCATGTGAGAGCTTTCGTGTACAACCTACAGCTTTCAGTGTCGTCGATGCATTATGTTTAAAAGTGAGCAAAATAGTCGTGTTGTTATCAAAAAACGTAAATTTTAGCAAGACGAAGTAAAATACATTTTCTTTTTGTTGTTTGACATTCACGTCCAAACGTATTTGTGAGTATTTAATAAAATTGTTATTAAAAGTGCATCTTTTGTATGTCTTTAGGAAGGACGTTATGACCACGAATGTTTAAACTTTTTATACACCATATAAGAATTTTCACGTTTTAAAAATGCATTTAACAGTATAATAACATTTAAAAAATTTCCAAATATGCACGCCTTTCGCAAGGTCTTTAAAATACGCTTAGCAAAGGTCAAGATATTACTGTATCAGATAATACATATTTTAATATCAAACCATATAAGCCACTACTGTGCCTTATATCAGTTTTTCAAATTTTCAACTTTTTTTTGGTCTGAATGTCATGAATGAAATAAGACTCCACTTTATTATTGTTTAACTGGGAAGGATTTTCCAAAGGATACCAAAATGATGAATAAAGCGGCCACACCAAACATTCTTAAGAAGTCAAAAGGACAATTTACAGTGGTGGGTTCTGATTCTCAATGACTATCAGTTCTGCCAGTCACCCCGGAGGAATGCCTGGAATTGGTAAAGTTCGAATTAATTCATAACTACAATGAATCTAGTATTGCAGATACAATGAGTTCGACCGAAACATCAACCAGGATACTAAGGAAAAATCTAGCATTATTGTCATCCCTATGGTACTTATTTAAAAATGACTTATTTGGTATTATTAGCGATAAATAAACTCAAATTAAATAGTGTCCATTAGATCAATCATCAGTTTGCGTGAAGGATAAAACATAAAGGTATATGCAAACCATTATACGATTATTTACATGTTTACAGGTTTCAATTTTAATGTATAGAGGAATCGATTAATATTAACACTAAAATTTATATTTTACACATTAATCAACTAGCCGTATTGATACATTTCTGCAGTAGTTATTTTAACGCAAAATAATATAGTCTACGCTTAAGTCAGTTTGCCATTTTACATTTAACGTATAAACTGCAAAAAGAAAAAACAATAAAACGTAAAAACGTGATTTTGTTCGTATCCTGCATAACTTTTACTATTCTCGTTTCTAATAAGATAACGGGAACAGTCGTACATGCTCATCTATCTATCTATCTATCTATCTATCTATCTATCTATCTGCTTGTTTATTTATTTGTTTATTTGCTTCCCAAAGGAAGTCATTATGTTATTGTTCACACAATGTATGAAGTAGCATAATTGCTTAGCAAAAGAAGGACAATTTTGGGTTCATTTATTTGCTATGGACCACTGCAAGGCGCGCAATAAGCATTTAAGCACATATCCAGTCTATAATACTTCTAGATGGATCACAACAAAAGTGTTTAGGGCGAAGGGTGCGGACGCCATGTTCTGACCCAGTTCTGGCACCAGGTGACGCTCTCAGCCTACTGTCCAATACCTCCGCCCGACCAAGCAACTGTCCCCATCGCCACGTTATCAAACGCGGGTTCTCCTGCTTCCATCAGTAACCTTCCGGCGTGATCAAGTCAAATTTACGACTGCCCAACAGAAACACGTGACTTCTTTCCCATATTTGGGCAGTGCACGTAGAATAAAGGAAAAAATAAAAAAATCCCCCACCTATAAATCCTGGACATATTTAGGACAAAAGCCCCTAAAAAGCAAAAATCAATCCCAATAATGATAGGCGCTATCAATGCACAAAACATTCATAACTAAAGGTTACCGAGGTTTTTGTTCAGTGTTAGTTTCTGTTGAAATGTTTCTGCTTGGTGTTTGGTGCATTTTCCCATAAAATGAGCTCGTACGTAGCTAACTCCTTTTACAAGCAGACACGGGAGGCGTCTGCCTCCGCCATGCAAAACTACAGCTATGGGTCTGTATCTGAGGTCCATCAACCCGGTTTTTGTTATGGTGAGATTGACCTCAGCGGGTCCCTCTCTTGTCCGAGCTCATCGAACCCCCTAAAACGCGGAGAGATGAGTACAAGTCTCGGTAGTTTTTCCGACACGACGTCGTCACCGCCACGGTCTCGCTCAGCCATGGGTTCCCAGGAAAACCCCATAAATGTTAACAACAAGGGCTCTCTAAATCGGGGGCTGTACAATGAAAAAGCCGAGAGGGACAAGGAGTTCAGCAGCATTCATTCTGACAAGACAGGAGCAAGCGAAATAAAAGCTGCAGGCATTCAAACCGTCCAGCCAGGAAGACAACCGAGTCACTCGGCTCAACCAAAGACCAGCCAGCCACAAATGTATCCGTGGATGACAAAACTCCATATAAGTCACGGTAAAGTTCCAACTTTTTTTCTTATTATTTGTAGAACAGGAATAGAAGGTATCCTATATGTCTCAGGGTTCTCATCTTTATTTATTCCATTCTAAACTCTTGAATTTTACAGGCCATACTTGGAAATCATAAAACTCACAGTCGTAAATTTTATGACAAAGGCACCAATTGCTCGTAAAGCTGTCCCGTTACTACGGAGAGGTGATCTGTGTCCGAATTTATGGTATCGCAACTGGATAAGAGATACAAAATTTCCAAAAAATTAAGAAACTCTCTTTGTTATGTAACAAAAAAACACATCAAAAATAAAAATCAGTTAAAGGGGAAGAGGTTGCGCTGTTGCTTTTTGTGCGTATTACATTTGTTGATAAGTAACAAAATTTAAAACTTTGTCCACTCCTCATCGTAGCAGTGTAACACCAACCCGATTTTAACCCGTGCTGTTTACAAAGCAAAACTATACCATTACATTAATACTATAATTACTATAATACTACAATGGTAACACAATATCATGTTTAAAGATATTTGAACCTTCAAAAAATGTGCCAAAGTAGGATTTATATTGCTTTGGGATAAAACGGATCAAGAAACTGCATTTTTGAGCAAGTTACGATAAAACACAAAAACCTTCGTGAATAATCGAACAATGATTTAATATATTAGCCTACTTTATCCATAGATGTGTGAGTTATTAGTAAATGAGTTCGTGCGTTTTTTATGTGATTGCCACTATCATGACCTTTACATATATGTATGTATGTTTGCATGTGTGTATGTGTGTGTGTGTGAGAGAGTGTGTGTGTGTGTGTGTGTGCCATATTACCTAAAGATGTAATTAGCTTCTTAAGAACGTTTACTGTTGTGCTTAAGATAAGATTGTGTGTGAGTGCGTGTGTTTCTTTTTTTCTGAATATACTCCAGAATCTGACGGCAAACGCTCCAGGACGAGTTACACGCGGTCCCAAACTCTGGAACTGGAGAAGGAGTTCCATTTTAACCGGTATCTCACCCGCCGGAGACGCATAGAGATTGCGAATAGCCTCTGCTTGAACGAGAGGCAAATCAAAATTTGGTTCCAGAACCGGCGTATGAAGTGGAAAAAAGACTCAAAGCTTAAAGCAAAAGATTCTCTATAGACTATCCAGCAGATTTTACTTCGGATTCAGTACGCAAAAGACATGTAAAGGAAGAAAGAATCTGGGTATACATAATACAGGAAAAATAGACCTCGATCAGTAACAGTACTGTGTTCATCAACGGTTAAAGATTTGCATTTCCTACATTTTTGTATGTTGTAAAAAGTAAACATGTAAAAGATTTTCCCCAATAACTACCATTACTACTTAACTGTTGTGGTCTTGGTTCTGTGTGTTGATAAATAAATATACAACTTAAAAGGACTCAATGTTTTTCTTTTCACCCCGTCAGTGTGATTATTGTGTCGATGCAAACGTTGTTTTGAGCGGAATTAGATTCTGTTCAGCGTTTCCGTGACCCCTTTCACTCCGGAGTGTCAATAGGATTCTCTGCTGCTGTGTCCTCACTCGGTGTGTCCATGGCTTGGAGTTCTATTATTATTATTATTATTATTATTATTAACACTAAGCATACTAATATTAAATGTTACTAGTAGCAGAGGAAACAGACTAAATGTATATATACTTTCAGTGCAAAGTATTTTTAAACCAAAGTATAAATCAAGAAGAATTCATTACATTTATTACATTCTGTACACAAAACAAGGGCTCAAGCCTCAGTTCGAGGTCAGTTGATAAAGAACCATTAAACGTTTTTAGTGGCGAAACGGAAAGCGCTTGGTGGAACCCCAGACAGTAAGAACTCAACTTGGTCCGTGGCCATTTGACTAAAAGTTACCTATTATACGACTTAGAAAAGTAACAGAGAGAATAATGCATCGACAGCAAACAAGAACAGAATATGTATTTTTTTATCATTAACATATGAATAATGGACTTCGATATCCTGTTCCATGTTTGCTGCGTGTCTCCCACACCCCCCTTTTCTCGTGATTTCTTGTGATTTTGTATAATGTGCCCAGTCACGCGCCAGGTTCAGGCTGCCCCGTATTATATATGCATTTAACCTCGCCCTAGAAGCGGTGCGCGTGCCTTTCCCAGTAAAACCCATTTCTTAATGGATACGCACCACTACGGGCCAGCAGGAGCTTCGGGGTGAAGTTTAAGGATGCAACGTTGTCCAAAACGTTTAAGGACAAAACACAGTTTTTTCCGTGTTGGAGTACTTTTACTCTGTTTGTGGCGTATTTTTTTAAAAAAAATATAAATCAATTTCTCAGGTCAGGAACAGGAGAGTGGTTACAACTCAAGTTCGACCTTATAAGAATACGGATAAAGGTGATGTTTTAGTACTGTTCCTCGTTGCATGGGTGAAATTTCATTGTTTGTTCCATACGAGGAAGCATGTGTTCTACATTGAATATTTAAGAGCCTTATATTCTGAGATGCATAATGAAATATACTTCAATTAACGATAAAAGCTCTTATCTTCTTCTTAAAGACATTTTCACCGACTGTTTTGGCTTAAAATAAATATATTTGCTAAACACATCCCTCAACGATTATTTTTTAAATAAACT